AATAGAATAAGGAATGGGCAGAAAGGTGTTCATCATCATCAATCTCCTGGGTTCTTGTACTTTACCAAAACTCTCTAATGAAAGTAGGCTCTAAACAAATATGATCAGGCATGGCAGGTTTTGCCTCTGGGACACAGGAAGCACATCTCAGTATGAAAACTTAATAGAGATCAAAGAAGGTAAAGCTTCTTTGAACTCTTCCCATAATTTTAAAATGGAAATATTACTTTCCCTATAAATTATATTGAACTTTTCCTATAGCTCCATGAGGGTTTGGCTCTAATAGAGAGGTTTTTTCTGGAACTTTACCCTGAAGCTTTCTGTAGAGTATCAAAGCATTATCAAGAATATTTCAGATTGACCTAAGTAAATGAAACCAGAACTGCAGTGGCAACTATAGTAATTCAAAACAGTGTTACAGAAGAATGAAGCAGTATTGCAATTTAGGGCCCGGTTCCAGAATAAAGTGACAGGTAATTTAGCTATCAGCATATGAATAGGAATGAACAAACACAAGGAGTTTTTTAACTCAAAGAACAGTATTGGCAGCAAATTGGGTGAGGGCATGGTATTGCTTTATCCTTTGTGTGGTCTCCCAGTGTTAACATTTGTTCTTCTCCAGCTGAAAAAAAGAATCGATTTCATTCTCCTAGCTAGGGAAGGCAAAAGAACTCTTTGTCCTGAGCACCTGCAGAGAGATCATATCTCCATCAACTTTCCCACTGTCCACCAGCCTCAAGAAACCTTCAAGCTGCACTGAAGTTGACACTAACCCCAAATCTCTCCCAGCCAGCACCTGCTGGGGAGGGACTTGTCACACTTGTCACACTCAGAGCAGAGGGAACTGACCAAAACCTTCAGAGAGCAGAGAGAAAGGTGGGATTTCTCACCTACCCTGTGCTAGGTATTTTCCACAGGTTTGCTTTTGCCTGTGCCTAGTTCAATGCAGAATCAGTGCCTTTTGGGAACATCTAGGTCCTATATAGAATAAGGCATCAAGTTTGCATGCTCTGAATTGCTTGATGGAGGATCTTTCCATGAGTGATAAAGGAAGCCAATGCAACCTACTTTGGGCTTTTTCAATATCCTGCAATGCCATCTTCAGTATTCTTCTGGATTAAGATTCCTAATTTCCAGGTAAATCTCTATTTCATCAGAATTTAGGCAGCCTAGTCTTTTAAACTTTTTGCCATTTTACCCCTTGGACTGTCCCAAGATGCTGAGATAGAGGTCCACAAAACACCATGGGATTCCATAAAAGAGGAGTTTAATAATCTGGCAGAGATTCTTCACCTTTAACTGAAGCAATTCCTGACCATTCCCTTTGAGGTCGTTTGGAATTTTGGGTACAGCCACACAGTCCAGCACAATCGAAGCATAACAAGTTACCTTTTAAACACAACTTTACCTTTTGAAAGGGCAATCTAACACAGTATTGCAGCACATAGTAGAGGTAGTCATATAGTGCATTTCAACACTTCTCATTATCAGCTATTGCCTAAATCCATCTTCTGAATTTTTATATATCAAGAATCCGGAGCTGGAGTTGCCCACAAGCCACTTCTCTTCTACTTATTAACCCTATTTCATATACTCAAGTTTGAATCTGATGGCCTTGTAGTTTTCTGCAAGGTATACTTCAGCTGGAATTATTGTCACTTTAGAAAACACAGAAAACAGGGAGGAGAATTTGCAATATGTCATTAAAGTAATATATAACATTAAAAATTCAGAGATACACCCCTCATGTCAATGCTACAGAGACTTTAAAATTATTTTCAGTAGCACATAAAAGTAGAGATTGTGTTTTTCACTGTAATTCTGGCAAGGCTTTTGTGATCATGCTGGGTGAGTCCCTTGTATGCTTCTGTGGGCTTGGGTTTTTTGAAGGAGAGAACATAGGGTAGAGTAAGGTTATGGCTAATGTCTTGCTGGCCTGAGGAAAAATTTATTTACAGCCATTTGGATGTTCATTGAAAGCACGGTTTTCTTGTGCTGGGATCAGAACAGAGCTCTGGGGGACCTCAGATATTCCTGTGAACAGAAACAAATAATATGGGAAGAACCACCATCAACTATTGCACCACAATGGGTGATTTTTAAGTCAAAGCATTTGCGTAGTTAATTGCAGTTCAGCTTTCAGCAACAAAAGTGCTCAAGTATTCTGTTTGTTTCATTCAGGAGTACTTTCAAGGTGAGAAGTGACCCCTAGATTATAAATTAATTGTGAAGAATTTCACATCCTGCACTTAAAGCATGCTTTCCAGTGGTGTTTGTTTGTTTAATCTGAATATGAGAGCAGATTGTCTTTCACTTCCCAGCGCAGTCACCCTTCTGAATTTTCTCCAGTGGACAAGCACTGTTTAATCAGCTACTTTTGCTCTCAGTTGCATTGTCTAGTTTAGTATTTGATTCCTGTTATGCTTTTATCCACTAGCTTAAAGAGCCTATTAATACCTGTTGTTATATCCCTGTGATGGTATTTACACAATGTAACCATAACACCTCTCTTCTGGGGAAGCTGAATAGATTGGGCACCTGAAATCTCTCGCTTGAGAGGAACTACTTCAAATTATTTTCAGGGTTCCTTTCTTAACCTTCTCAAGCATTTCAGTATCTTTTCTTTTTAAATGTAGATCCCAAAACTGCTTCTAATCTTTGTCTCACTGGTGTTTCATGCAGAGAGAAAATTGCTTCCCTATTCCTACTTGTTAACTCCTCTGAAACATCCGAGGCTAGCTGCATCTTCTTTAGGCTCCTTTTCCCCAGAAGCATAGCACAATTCCTTCCTCCTCTGACCCCCAAACCCTTCCCTGTGTGTACTGCTCCAGAGCAGCTGGCAGCTTCGGTCACCTAGAGCCGTGTTTTTGCATTAAGCTCCATTAAAGGACATTCTGTTTCAACCAAGTTCATCTTATCTGCTCTGTAATAGGTTACATGTGTAATGAGAATGTCATGTATCATTTTCAAAAACCTGTTATGGACATGGTTGTGTAACTTTACTAACCACACTGATAATTTCCTCACAAAAACATGAATCATGTTTGCTTGGCAGTTCACTTCCCATAAAAACAGACTTTATTCCCATATATTGGATTTTTTTTCTCTCTTGTTTTTCTTGGGGTTGGTTAATGTTAGGCTAATCAGCCTGTAACAACCTTGTCACCATAGTAAGTTTTTCTGGATCTTATCAGAAAAATGAACACTAAATTTTTCCAGATATTCCTATTATGCCAAGATTTCCTTGAAGCAGCACCAGAGGGCTGGCACTCTTGCCCTTTCTTTTGGGATTCATGTGTCATTTTTCTGGGTGTGCTGGTTTTTATATGTTCTTAGGAAATGTTTCTTAATATCCCTTTTATGAGTCAATAATCTTGCAAACACATCTTTCTTTCCAAATGCAATCCTGAAATATTTCTTAATAGTTTATACCTTTTTAAATTCTCCTCTTCTAATAATACTCCTTATGCTTCCAAATACACAAGTGTTTTATTACCCATAGCCCTTACATGGAATTGGATTTTCCAAGGGCATGGATTTTCCCCTTACAGGTTTTGCTTCCCTGATGAAATCTCAGCACTTTCTAATTAATGTTGATTGCCATCTACTTTTGTCTTTCAATGTTAGTTCTACATGGTAATTTTTTCTTCTCAGTTGCTGACTTTGCTTTTCCAAGAATGGGTTTTCAAGTAAAGTTTTCCTCTTGCTTGATGGTAAAATTTTTGGTAAATGAAAAAAAATTTCCTGTAAATGTCTCTATTTTATTTCCCCTATTCACGTAAACCTTTTTCTCCCAAATGCGCTTTTTTCAGCTTTGGGGAAATAACTTTTTCAAAGCAGCATACGTGTGTGTAAAATACAGTTAAGGTTGCCACCTGTTTGCTTGGATCAATGGCAGCTATGAATATCAACCAAAACAGGTGAATATTGACACATGCAAGGACTCATCTGAATGAAAGTGAATGGCATTTCTAGCAGCGGATTTTAATGACAAGGAGCCTAAAATAGGCACTACCTAATTAATCTTGTGAGACATCCTTCTATTACTGAATACAGTGATGGAAAAGTGGAATTCTTGCCAGTCATTTGCGATAGTATAGACAAGCATAGAGTCAGTTGTGTTTTGATCCTTTTCAGAGGCGTCTGGGTCGTGGCCAAAATTCTTTTGGGGTGTTTCATACTCTAAAAATCCCCAGATCCAGGCTTTCTCCTGGCCAGAATTAAACATACTGTTTAACCATCGGTGTCCGTGGAGTTTGGCTATTTCCAGAGGGCCGCCTTCGAGGTTCTCTGGGTTCCTGTCAGTTACACCTGAGTTTGGTAAACGCGCCTATCCGGAAAAGAGGAGAAAACACCAAAATCCAAGCTGAAGCCGGGGCTCGGAGGTGGGATGAATCGACCGCCCGGCGCCCGCTTCCCAGGCTCCCGGGGCTCCCACGCGGCCCTCGGACCGGTCCTGCAGCTCTTTTGCCAGAAGGTGGAGCCCCCGCGCCGCTCCCGCCGCCGGAGCTGCCCCTGCCCACCCCGGGGGAGTGCAGCCCCTCCGCGGGACGGGGAAGAGAGCAGGCTGTCTGCCGGGCAGCCTCTCCGAGGGAGCGGGGAGAGAGCAGGGTGTCCGCCGGGCCGCCCCTCCGAGGCACCGGGGAGAGCAGCCCCTCCGCTGGGCAGCCCCTCCGACAGACCGGGGATAGAGCAGCCCCTGCGCCGGGCAGCCTCTCCGAGGGACAGGGAAGGGCAGCCCCTCCGCCGGGCAGCGCCTTCGCGGGGCCGGGGAGTGCAGCCCTTCCGCCGGGCAGCCCCTCCGATAAACCGGGTCTCGCAGCCCCTTCTCCGGGCAGCCCCATCGGCGGGGCCGGGGCGGGAACCGCGCTGCGCTCCGTGCGTGTGGAGCTCCCCCCACCCCTCCCCGCGCCGCAGCCGCGCCGCCTCCTCCGCGCCTTCCCGCCGGCCGCGCTGCCAGCAGCGGGGGAGGCAGCTGTGCGGGCAGGGCGAGGGAGGGGGGGAGGAAGAGGTAGGAGGGGAGGAGAAGGTGGAGGGCGGGGACGGGGCCAGCCCGAGGAAATCAAACGGCCCCGACATGAATTAGGCAGCGGCCGCAGAGGGGAGGGCCCCCCTCCCCCTCCGTCGGTCCCCGCACGGCGCCCGGCGGCGGCAGCGCCGCCCCGCTCGGAGCGGCGGCTCGGGGCGCGCACGCACACACGGACCGGCGGCGGCCGGGCGGGCGGGGGGGCCGGCAGATGAAGATGGCAATGTCTGTGATCCAAGCGTGCCGCAGCCTGGCGCTCTCAACATGGCTGCTGTCCTTTTGTTTCGTGCATCTGCTGTGCCTGGACTTCACCGTGGCCGAGAAGGAGGAGTGGTACACGGCCTTCGTCAACATCACCTACGCCGACCCGGCGGGCGGCGGCGCCGAGCTCCGCAGCGAGAAGAGCGAGTGCGGGCGCTACGGCGAGCAGTCGCCCAAGCAGGACGCCCGCGGGCAGGTGGCCCTGTCCGCCTCGCCCGCCGACCGCTTCGCCTGCGACCCCGGCACCCGCTTCAACGCCCCGGCGCCGGGCAAGAGCTGGGTGGCCCTGATCCCGCGGGGAAACTGCACCTACAAGGACAAGATCCGCCACGCCGCCGCCCAGAACGCCTCCGCCGTCGTCATCTACAACGTGGGCTCCAGCAACGCCAACGAGACCATCACCATGCCCCACGCAGGTGAGCCCCGCCGCCCCCGGGTCTGTCCGGAGTGGGCGGATGGATGGACGCCGTTTTCCAGCCCGCTCTGATGTCCCGTATCCTTGGGGAGCTGCTGGGAGAGAAGGTGTCCTCGCACCTCCTGACAGGGAGCAGGGTGGGCTGTGGGCCTCGCCGGGTGGTGGGTGCTCATTGAGGGGCCGGGGCGGGAGGGGGCACGGAGCACCTCTCTATTGCTGCCACGGCAAAGGATGGATGTGCTGCTAGCGTATCCGTAGCAATGCACGCCGGTGCTCCACGGGTGAAAAGTTTTGGACATGTAAAGTTTGGGTCTAGTCGGAGGAATGGTTGGGACGCTGAGCCCACTGCGTCCGTGTTTTGTTGTGTCCCGAGGGTCCTCTGGCAGGTGCTGTGTGGGATCGGGTGTGATCGAGACCTTCAGAGGAGAAGCGTAGTGGTGTGGTGCAGGCTTATCAGGAGGTGCAATTAAGCAGGGAACACGGTGTCCACTGTCTTGGCAGCGGTAGTGTAAAAGCTGTGAGATCGAGTGGGAAAGTCGAGTATCTGATTTGGTGAGAACATGAGATATTTTGTCCAGGACTGGGATGGAGGCGAGTGTTTCAGTCTCCCAGGTGAACGATCAGATGGAGTTAGTGCTTGCAGTGTCAGCACATGGGTGCTTGGCTCCCAACATGTGCTCGTCAGCTGGAACCAAGGCAAAATCCAGTCATCGGAAACAACCTAAACCTTGGCTTATGCCCACGAAAAAACCTGCACCGATTTTGTAACAGTGTTTGATCTGAAATAACGTTGTTTGAAAAATAGTTCTCCAGATTTATATTTAGGGACAGTGCTTTCTGCCAGGGGTCACTGGTCTGTTATACCAGCTGCCTATGCGTGGAGACAAAATGCCACCTATTGTGAAATCTCAGTTTGGTTTCCATCCAGTAACTAATCATGCCCAGCTGTTTCATGCCAGCAGAATCTCAGCAGAGTTAGGGGTAGATTGAAACACAGAAATGCTGCAAAACAGGATGTTATTCTAATGACATTTTAAATTTCCACAGTAAACTAGCTAGCATGGATGTGCCGAGAAGCAATTTATTGCCCAAGCATAGTGCTATAACGCTGCTGATGCAAAAGTAGTGCTTTTGGAACCACTTGTGTGCAGCCTCTTAGGGAGATTAACCGTTTATATTGAGTGAATTCACATTTCTTTGGTAGGGTTGGTGGAAGATGGGGGGTTTTTTAGTGCTTTCTTTGGGTTTGTGAGACAAGCAGCTCATAACCTCTTGAGCTTCTTAAAACTGTGCCTTATAACCTGCACATGGTTTGCTAGCTGTTCAGCTTATACTTCTTGCTACTTAAAGCATCACAGATTATATACTAAGCAGTATAAAGTAGTAGAAGCTTGGCATATTTACGCATCCTCAAAGTAAAGCCCAGGCTGTTCTAAAATTTAAGATGCAGCATAGCTTGTTCGCCTGTAGCGGGTTTCTCCAAAACTGCCAACATGTTGGATCAATTAATGGCTTGCCTGTTTCTGAAGTATGCACTAAGCTGTTTTCCCACACAAATGGTGTTTTATTAAGAAACAGTGGGAGTAAAAAATGTGTCTAACCTTTCAAAATGTTAGAGCTTTGGTTTGTTTTAAAGTTCTAAGATGAAGTAAGCAGGGAAACTTTCTTACTGAAAATGGCCTCAGATTTAAAAAATATGAACATTGTATCAATTATCGTGGGAGAATCTTCTTTCTGTCATATGACTCTGGAGGGTTTGTTCCGAGATTCCTTTCTGAGTACCGAATTGATACCCAGCAGTGAGATTGTACAGTACCACAGGCTGAAATGAAAGGAAACTTGCAGAAAATAATCTGAACTTGTGGAACATGATCACTGAGATTGGAGATCTTTGCTGATTGATTGGATGAGATTGTCTTCATTTTAAGGATTCTTGTTCAGCAAATTTGAGTAATGATCGTTGGGCTTACCTTAGAGAAAACCTGCCTTCTGCACACAGTCAAAACTTAGAGGAGTTTTACAGCCTCAGTCTGCTGGAACAGGAGGAAAAACAATTATTCTTAAATATTTGGCAAACTAGCAGGGATTCAGAACTGGATTTATCTTTACTCTCCCTCTGATACCACTGTTACGCTGCAACTGAGTGAATATACAAGCTGTGTAAAATTATGTCAGAAGTCAGAAACTTGCAGCCTTTGACGTCTGCTTGTTCCCAGTCTGAACGATAGCACAAGATTCAAGGGAAGAATGAATCAGGTTCTTGCTCTCTGAGTTCAGCAGCATCTGCAGTGCTCTGCCTACGCCAAATCCTGGAGTGGGAAGAAGAAAATTCCATCCTGGAAAATACTTGGAGGGTGAGAGGGGAGGGTGAAATATGACCTAAAAAGCAATTTAAAAGTCAAAAGAAATATGCTGTTACTCCTTTTTTTTTTTTTCCCTCTCACAGATTTTTTTTGAGGTTTCGTAGAAGCTTTAACAAACACTCTCTATACAGAAAAGTATATCCTGTTGCATAACTATGTGGATTCTGCTCTTACTATAGAACTGTTACTCCTAAGAGGTGTTTTATATACATTCTTCTCTTCTGTATGCTTTGCCTTCTTTTTCGTAACTGTTGTTTTATCTCTTTTTGCTGCTTTTTCTGCTTCTCTCACCCTCAATCTTGCTTCCTCATCTCTACCCCTGTGCTTCATTCCCCCTCTTGACCACATTGTTGTGCCACTTCATAGTGCTTTGCCCTAACTGCTTTCTTCCCAAAGCTCTCTTTCTCCTGCCAAAGATATTACCTCACGGCTCTATGTTTAATTATATTTCCTGTTCTCTGCTACAGTGCATGCCAATGACCCTTTGCTCATGTTGTGCCTCCTGATTTTAAAATCTGTAGGCAACTGTAGCAGGACTCGGTGCTTCAAGTTGAAGGAGGTTCATAGACCTCCTTCCCAGCACTCCCAAACCAAAACCAGGGTAGTGTTATGTCGAAGGTTGTTATGCAGATCTTAAAATGTGACTCTCTGGGATTTATTTATAGTGCACCAGACAGAACACACAAAGTGTGCTATTTGAACCGGTTCAGTCACCGCATGGAAAGCCTTTGCTTTCGGGGAGCTTGCACTGAGGTCACTGCTTGCACATCCAGAAGGGTGAGGTGGAGTTGTGACATCTGCATTCACAGGGAATGCGGAGCTCTGGGGTTCACCTGATAGGATGCACTCAGTTTGTACATCACCTGCTGCAGCCTTTTCAAACTGGCATCTTTATGTTTATTGGCTTGAAGTATGGCATAGGAGCTGTGAGTATGACTTCATTTGCTTTTTGAGTAAGTAGGTTTTAACTAGAGAAGGAACAAAAACTTCTAGAATTTCTATTTCAGATGCTTTGCATTTCTCCTAAATTAACTTTCCTGGCAGAAAAGTAGTCTGATAATATAGAGGATGTTCTTTTCTCTCCGTAAGAATAATCCATGGTGTTGGCTAGGGTTTCTCATTGGAATTAGCTGTCATCTAGGTTTGAAAAGGCCCTAGCCACTCTGTCTAATTTAATAATGTAATATTAATTTGAAGTAGTCTTACTACCTGTTGTAGCACATGTCCGTCCTAACATTTCCTTTGAGCTCTGAACAGATACAGTAGGAGAGCCTTCCAGAAGGTGATTCAAGGTGAGAACTCCCCTCTTTTCAGCTCTTTTTTGAGGGAACCTTACTTTGACCACTTCTAACTTAGGTGCCTGTCAGGTGCTTGGGGCTAGGGAGGAATGTTAACTGTGACTGTATATGATTCATATGGGGGTAAAAATCAAATCTGTAGTGTTCTCTACAGTTTGTAACATTCAGTTCAAATTCGGAGGTGCATCAGATTGTCTCACAGAATGGATATGCTTGTTATGTGAAGAAAATTTCATCCCATTTCATTTTGCACCAGAAGCATATGTGAGTCAGGCAGTTTCGCATTCTCCATATTCCGCTGCTTTTCCAGTGCATGCCATCACAAATTTTAAGTCATGTGCTGCACATATGACAGCCCTTTTGCAATGAAGGGCAGATGCCTCATTTTTTATAATTGCTTATACACTCTGGCAGCAATTAGCAGCTGTATCTTGGAGACATGAACCTAATCTGTGGTCTAAGAGGACTCTGACTTCTTCCCTCCCTCCTTGACCCTCAAGTGGAGTATGTGTGCACCAAATTGCATGAGGAGGGCATGGCCAGCCCATTGCAAAATGTGTCCCTCCGCACGTACTGCGAACGTGGCCAGCCTTAATTTGAGTGCATTCAGTTCAATAGCGGTTTCTTCCCTTTTACTCAGATTTTTGTTCCGTGATCAGTGACTAGTCTTGCCTTTTACGTAGTTTAAGATGTGTTAGTAGTAGTTTTGCCTTTGGGCCCCCCTGTAGATTTCTACTGATATGCAAATTAAACTTTTGAAGATTTCTCTCTTTACAGACTTAATTCAGCACTGTAGCTACATTTGTTTCTTTACTAAAACAATTGTTTTCCTAAACTTTTGTTTAATTCTAATGAGGAAAGTGTGCTGACAGCATTCACATTGAATTTACATATGGGTATGAGTGAATTAATTGAGGGCTGGCAATTTCAGGCTTCTGGGGCCTGCCATAATTGTTTTCTGTTTCAGGCACCCAAGATTGATTCCTAACAGAATCTAACTCAGTGCTGGAGGGAGATGGAGGTCAGCACATCTCTGAGGTTTATCCATTGGGGCATGGCTGTGGTGTGCTGCCATTCCATGATCCGTCATGGAAGCCTGGCTGTCAGCAGTTTTTTAAAACCTAGTTCTCTATGTTTATCAAAATCCAGGATTTATAGCGCTGGCTAGAACCAGCAGTAGTGGCAGCAAGCTGTCCCGCTGCGTTGGCTGGTGAGCCACACTTCTGCCTGCTAGCTCTGCTGTGGTGCAGTGCTAGGCTGCTCTACTGCCCGTGTGTTCAGCTGTGCCAAGCAGAGGGGGCACTTTGTGGTGTTTGGTAATACACCTAGCTGAATTAAAA